CGGCTGCCCTCCTGCTTCGACTACATCATGCACTTCCTCACCGTCTTCTGGAAGGTTCTGTTCGCCTTCGTCCCTCCCACAGAGTACTGGAACGGCTGGGCCTGCTTCATCGTCTCCATATCGCTTATCGGCGTCCTCACCGCAGTCACGGGCGATCTGGCATCTCACTTCGGCTGCACGATAGGACTGAAAGACTCGGTGACGGCTGTGGTGTTTGTAGCGCTGGGAACATCAGTGCCAGGTGAGGATGAGTGGGGAAGAGCCTTATTATTTGACTTTAAATCCCAATCTAAGCACCAAAACATTCACCACCACACGCTCATCAATGGCCAGCTCATCAAACACATCAGAAAACCTGTCTGGGATCTTTATTTCTTTTATATTGTTTCACCTTTCAAACAACTTGGTTAGATTGGGTTAAAATACAAACTTTCAACAATGGTTACAGTGTCTTATCCATGCTGATGATTGGTCAGCATGGATAAATACCACCCGTTTCCTGAGAACACGCTTTTAGCTGGATTGAAAAACCCTGATTTAACCTATTAAGTTCATAACCACCACCTTTGTGTGACCTCTTAGTCTGATTGTGTTAGGGTTAGTTTAGCTAGATAATGAAAAATTAGTTAGACACATGGTTACATTTAGATGTGGTATTGTGGGTTATTATGAGTAATGCCTGTGTATGAGTGCGGTTGTTGAAAACAAGCAGGAAGAAGATTTTCCCAGCTTGCAGCTTGATCTGAATACAGGTATGAGGAGAGGTTTAGCGGGACTCAAACAGAAACAGATGGCTCGGTGTTACGCCACAGTGGTGCAGAGTGATTATTTTCCACGTTTGCCATGTTACAAATTCCTCCCCTCCCATTACACCACACTCGAGCTTTCCGTTTCACCAGACATGAAATGAGCTGCGTCTTCCCTCCAAAGTTCAGATGTAAATAAACAAACACAAGCCTCTCTCCTGCGCCTGATTTCAATAGCAGCCGCTTTGACTTCCAGGATCGAAATCAAAAATATAATTGTAAAACTCCGGCTCCATCACAGCCTTCAGCCTCGGATTTTTTTCTTGCCCGGAGTGGGCAGATCGTCCCCAGACTTTCATTCAATTCCCTGCCTCATTCCTAACGACAGCAGGTTTATTGTTGCCCCTTCGTATGATTTATAGAAACGGCTCCTGTGCTGCTCTTCCGGGCGGTAACTTGGATGGTTTGTGATGAGGTCTCTGGAAAGTAGTGTTTGAATCAATTCCTTCTACAACCATGTTATGGTGTGTGAAGGGGAATTTTAGATCCGTAAATCAGCGCGTTTCCTTTTGCAAGGTTCTAATGTTTTCATTTTCCCTCTTGTTGTGAATCTCTGATCACTTTCACTCCCAGCCAGATCTCTATCTGTTCCTTCTTTAGTCTCTCATAGTCCCCCCACTTATCTGTTAGGCTCTCATGCCCCATTCTGGTCAATTTGTTACTCTGACTTGGTGTTACCTTACTCCGCTCTTTCTTTCCTCCTCTTAGTGTTTTTGCTATTGGATCATCCATCATTCTGACCTGTGTATGCTGTAGAAATCAGGCGTGCGTGTGGGTAAAAACGTGTGCTTTTCCTGTCGAGGAGCTGCAAGTTAGCATGCAGCATCTCCAGCGGGCCATTATGACTTTCACAGGGAGTGTTTGCTGCCTTCTGCGTGTGTGATCTCCTTAAAACTTGTTAGCAACACTCATCTGCTCTCTCGTTTCCATTTCTCTGACATGCGCCCTTCCCTCCTCCTTCTCTTCTCTCTGTCCTCCTCGAGATTCATAAAAGCATTTCTGTGTTATTTGATTGGAGACACACTCCAGGATTATCGGCCCAATTTACACAGAATTTGCAGACTCAGGCAATTAGAGAGCAAACGCTGATGGTTTGAAAGCTGCACGCTGCAAAAATGTTTCTGCCTGTTTAAGAGGTTTGCACAGCTCATTTGTAGCCATCTGAGGTATTTAAACGGTAAGTGGTGTTTGATATGTGCATCCGTGGTGAACAAATGCTGACGCTGGTTTGCAGTCTTCATCTCATACGCTGCTTCATACCTGAAGTTTATCTCTGTGTGAACTGATTTTTGACTTTTTGGATAATATTGATTTAGTTGTTGCTCTTCCTTTGGTCTAAATACATGAATTTCACTGTGGAAAGTCCTTTTGGAATTTTGTGGGAAGTTGCTGCAACAGAGGATTTAAATTGTTTTAGTATAACAATAAAAATCTGCACAGCCTCGTTCATCAAATGAGAACTTTTAGATATTTTTGTGACCGTTTAGCAGGAATAGTGTGGACGAAAGGAGTTTATACGAGCCAAATGAAGATGTTCAGAAGATGACACTCCAGTAGGTCTGCGTACATTCACCACAGCATTAAACAGGCTGTTCTCATCATTGTTACCTGTGTGGCTGGCTAGGCAGGACCAGATCGCAGGACTCAGAGACGGGGGATTTAAATCTAAGAGGCAGCTTTATTTGCTGTGATGAAGAAGTCAGATGTGGTGCAAAAAAAAAATAAAAAAAAAAACACTAAAAGAAACAAGTTTAGAACTAAGACTCTTGCAACCAGGACACAATAAAGGAACATGAACTACACACAAGAAACACACTGCAAACATGGAGACCACGACGACCAGAGTGTGACTGAAGACTTAAATACACATGCAGGATAACGAGGGAAACAGGAGAGAAACACAGCAGGAACAAATCAGACGCAACGAGAGAGGGGAAGGAAAACTAAACAATGCATGCAAGACAGGAAACACTGAGGACAAAACAATAAGGGAAACTAAACCAGAACCACAAAGGATAAACACAAGAATCAGAAACTCATAAACGAAGAAAACTAAACTAGGAAATATGAGAACTCTAAGAATACCACAATAATGACTTATCAAGATTCAAAAAAGTCCACAAACACAAAACACTGGGTCAGAGACCCACAACCATGACAGTTCTGTTTTCTATTTTTAAACATATGAAATTAGGGCTGTGCAATATGACCAAAATCTCATATCCCGATATTAGACATTTATTGTCCCGACAAAGATATATATCACAAAAATTTTAAATTTTCTGTAAATTCTGTGAATCTCGGGTAACTCGACTCGTGTGAAGTGTTTTCAGCTGGGCGTCGTGTACCTGGAGTCGAGTGTTTTCACCGACCAGTTTCCTGCATAATTTGCATAGTACAGTTTTCTGGTCCGTGTCATACTTTTCATAACAAAACCATGTCCATGCTACAGAGGTAGCCCCTCGTTTAGAAATAAGGTCCTCGATTTGTTTCAACTGCTCTTCCTGTTTGTCATCATTTCAGTTTATTTTGAAAAATCCCAACAGGATCTTCAGCTTTATTGTGAAAGGTTTATGTGGAAAATAAACAAGTGGACGGCGGAGCCACACGCTGGGTTTACCGTTACTGTTGCTAACAACAACATGGAAAAACAGTCGCGTATCCGCCTGTAGCGTGGTTATTTTAAATATAAGAGAAAGAGAGAGCTTTAAGAAATTAATAAACTACAGTGACCATCAAAGTCATGAAAAATATTGCCGTAAACAGTTTATTTTGCGACACCACGAAACAAACGATAGCGTAAAATGAAACGATAGACGTTTTCATATCGTCATCCGATATATATCTTATATCGAACAGCCTTATATGAAATAGCAAATAAATGTTCATTGAGCACCTATTGGGATTTAAGTTGCTTTTTAGACAAGTGAAGATATTTCTTTAGCAAACTGATTCCTTTTAAGAAACATTGCTAATTCAGAGTCTGTGATGCTGCTGGATTTTGTCCCACTGCATCTCTAACATGTGTCTGATGATCTTATTTGGAGGCAGTAATGTGGAGTTATATGGCTGCCCCTATGTGCACACACACACTTGTTTTTTGTGTCGTCTACCCCCAGCAGGATTACAGTCCCCCCCCGAAAAAATTTGAGGACAGTTTTAATGTTGGGATACGAATTTCAGCTAATCTCACTGACATTCAAATGAAAATTGAGGCTCTTCTCACCAGCCTGTCTAAAAACAGACGTTCAGTAACTGGCAGCAGCTTCCGCCGGTATTCCCTGCCAACCCAGTTGTAGTCTCTCTGCTTTTCATCCAGTTTCTCCTCACATATCCTGCACCACAGAGCACACTTAGTGTACACCTACAGCATTTCACAGCATTTATTACATTGATTTTGGTTGTTCTGATGCCAGAACACAACTGTAAATTGCAGCAGGACTAGTAAATCTTCTCTGAAACTAATGCAAGTGATGTTTAATTCTGCCCAGTGTGCATAAAAAAAACGATATATGGCAAGTGAATCCATTTCTGACAAAAATGTGTATCGCGGAGCAACGCAAACCTCCTGAGGCTTTTTTAAATGCACATAAATTTTGATAATGTAACTCTAAAGGCTCTCGCCTCAAACAGTGACCCAATGTGAACACAGAAATGATCATTCCACAGGGATCCCACAGGGATGGAAATTTCTCTCTAAAGATATAACCTGGACACAGGGCAACCACTGAGCAACCAGCATTAAACCACTGATTCAGCTCCATGGAGCATGATTACAAAAATATGGACTAAGAGACTTTAACTGTGGCTGACAGATTGTTATTTCCTTATGCAGTATACACTCACTGTCCACTTTGTAAGTTGCTTTGATTCAACAGCTCGTCATTGCATGTATCTAATCAGCGAATCACATCACAGCTGCATTTGCGAATGCAGTCATAGTCAAGAAGATCTGCCAAAATTCAAACTGACCATCAGAATGGGGAAGAAAGGTGATTTAAGTGTATTTGATAGTTGTTGGTGCCAGATGTACGGTGGCCCTGAGAGGCCAAACGGACTACAACTTAAGAAAAGACCAGCAATAAGAAAAACGCTGCAAAAACACACAAAACACAATGGAAATCGGAAAAACAAAAACAGAATTAGGAAAAGACAGATTTCCAAAAGCACAAGGGAAGTGTTTCTGGGGAGACAATAACCCGACGGACCAGTTGCAGGCGCCCAAAACATGGTAGATGTGTTTTATTCTCATGATTCATATAATACTGATGACAGATTTTTAGGCTAATAGTTAGGCTAACACAGTTACCGATAGATCCTCCACTTCTTTTAAGTGTCTCCCAGCACAATTCTTATTGCATATTTTGGTTCCTGCAACTGGTCCGTCGGGTTATTGCCTCCCCAGAAACACTTCCCTTGTGCTTTTAGAAATCTATTTTTACCTATTTCTGTTTTCGTTTTTTCTATTTCCGTTTTCATTTCTTCCTATTTCCGTTGTGTTTTGTGTGCTATTGCAGCGTTTTTCTTATTGCTGATCTTTTCTTAAGTTGTAGTCCATTTGGCCTCTCAGGGCCACCTTACAGATGGGCTGAATGTGGGTGCTTTAGAAACAGCAGATTTTCAACACAACCACCTCTTTAAGGTTTACAGAGAATGATCCAAAAAAGCAAAATACCCAATGAGTGTCAGTTCTTTGTCTTGTTGATGCCAGAGGTCAGAGAATGGCTTTCATAGGACTTCATAGGAATTAAACAGTAAGTCAAATAATCACATAATACAATTAAGGTCTGCAGAGGAGCATCTCTGAATGCACAGTGCATCAAACCTTGAAGCAGATTGGCTACAGCAGCGAAAGACCAGGTGCTGCTCCTGTTAGAGCATGATCTCGTGGACAATAGATCACAGGCATTTAAAACTAAACAATATTGTTTGTTTGTATCAATGGTTTCGTTGTAGCAAGGTGTACCTAAAAAAAAGTGGCAAGTGAGTGTGTAATCCTTTCAATTACACATACAGTGTTACACATCCGTGATAATATTTATGCAAAAGGAATGGAGGAACTGACCTTTGTGGTTGCAAAGGGGCTTGCAGATACATAGAAACTGTGGGTGTATAAGATGTCAGCAAGTGTTAGGTGATCTACCAAGAGTGAAGAACTGAGTTTGACTTTAACTGACATGTAGGATATTCCCGGAAATGTCAGGATTTCACTCATCAATGACTTCCAGTGTCTGCAACAAACCTTTTTTATAAAATCTTATGTATGACTCCCCATCATCTTCGTGATAGCTGACTGGATAAGCACCAGTGTAACCAAATATCTACTGATTGGATTTGACAGCATTGCATATTTAAATTATGCAGGTTATAAAATCTTCTGCTGTATTTGGCTGTCACCCAAGCATTTGTTCGTCCTTTGTCTGTCTTTGAGTATTATGTCCTCAGTTATCGGTACAGTTGCTTTTCTTCTTCCTAGGTGTTGTAACTTTTTTTTCTTAGACTGATAATCAGTGTCTGCCTGTAAAAAAGAACAACCACTTCACAGTTTTGTCCTGTCTTTATGCTTCTCTTTCCATTCTTGAATGACATGATGTTCACTTGTATGTTTTTAAGTGGAAAACAGTTGTTACCTTTAGCTTTTTGCAGCAGCCTGTGAGCAAGTCCTTCACAAAAATACATCTAAAATTTATTCAATTAAAGTAATTTCCATAGTTTTGGTTGGCACAGTGTCATTGTCTTGTTTTGACGCTAGGTCTATGCTTTGCTTTTATGCCTTGTTCTAATCTTGCACATTGATTTTTCTATTGTAGTTTGAAGCGGTTGCTCTGAGGTTTTGAAAAGATGAACGTAGTAGAAGAAAGAACCCTAAAATGAGGCAGCATAAAAAGGGTTTTACAATAAAGCCTTTCTTTCTTTCTTTCTTTCTTTCTTTCTTCTAGACACATTTGCCAGCAAGGTCGCTGCCATCCAGGACCAGTACGCTGACGCCTCCATCGGCAACGTCACCGGCTCCAATGCGGTTAACGTCTTTCTGGGCATTGGCGTGGCATGGACCATCGCTGCCATCGCCTGGCGCTCCAAGGGCAAACCTTTCAAGGTGGACCCAGGAAGTCTGGCCTTCTCTGTCACCCTCTTCACTATCTTAGCTGTGGTGAGCGTGCTCACGCTTCTGTACCGGAGGCGGGCAACAGTCGCCGGTGGCGAGCTGGGTGGGCCGCGGACTTGCAAAATAATAACGTCGCTGATGTTTGTCTCATTGTGGTTGATTTACATCCTGCTGGCTTCCCTGGAGGCCTATTGCCATATACCAGGGTTTTAAATGGAAAGGAAAGCAGAGGGAGAGAGAGGCCCACTGCCAATATGAAAAGAGAGAGAGAGAGCGATGCAGCAGTCTTGAAAGAGGGAGTCGAGATGGATCGATATGGGCCGACTTTTCAGGAAATCTTTAAATCCGTCCAAAGACTATTTCAGTTTTTCATCAGATGTGTTTTTTCCCTACATTCCTCTCTGTCCTGAAAAACAGAGAGTGAGTCCTCATAAACAGTAAAACTTGCCAAATGTCCAAATTAATAATTATTTATTCTACATTAGCAGCTCTTTTAGACAGGAAGCCCCTCCCTCTGGTCTAGTTATGACGAAACTTCTCGAATACATAAAATTAAAATGTAACATCGTGGAAAAAAGGTATAAAACTGACTTTGAGGGTGCTTCTAAAATCAGCAGTTGACAACAAAGTGTACAGGCTCATGTTGTCCTAATATACTGCCAAGACAGCTGGAACGAAAAGACGATCAGCTGGCTTCTGAAGAGAAAATAGGTTGAGAGTGAGGATTAAAGTGAGATATAAAAATGGAAAAGATGAGACAAGAAGAAACAGAAATAGAGAAAGAAGAAAGTGTGTATAGCATAAACAAGAATATGTGGTAAAAACCTTTTACTGCCCTGTATTAGTCACTCGTTCGCTCCCTCCACCTTTACTGTATCAGTGGACGCTCCTGTCTGAACATTTGAGCTCTAAAACTGACAGTGACTTCACACTTTTAATCCCTCTTCCACCAAATGCACACAGACACACACACACTCACATATACACACTCTTGGGGCCCTTGGGTGATTCTGCAGTTGCGGGGACCAATTTGCGGGCGAGATGAAAAGTGAACATCCTTTCATTTTATTTTATTTTTGTCTTTTTATTCTTTTCTTCCTCAGTACACTGTGCAAAATAGTCCCTACACACACCATACACTTTCCTCAGACCCTTGCTCTTGCCTTACTTTTATCTTCCCCGTAGGAATAAAGTCTTAAAGTTGATGAAATGTTGTAGTCAGCACCGACCGACCTGCCCTCTTTTTAATTGAGCCAGTTTCTGTTTCATTTTGGCATCTGTTTAATGCCAAATTCCCACACTTTTTACTAAACTTTTGAGTGGCGTCACGTGTTGATGTTGTTACCGTGCAATTGTAAAAAATAACAACAATGAAAAACCGTATAAATGCAGCGTGATCTGATAATGGACAAGACAAATTCAAGTGAAGAAATCTCTAAAGTGGGGAGGAAGAACCAACAAGAACAGTCCACCAAGAAAAAGCTGAAGCTTTGTGCACGACACATCGTGAGGTGCATTGTTTACACTTTAAACTACGGATAATGTGAACAACTTTGAGCCAAGCAGGGACTTCTGTGATGCCGTCGATGAACAACACAAGAATCGGAGCGAAGGATCGACTGCGAGACGACGGTGTTGACGACAAATCAGAACCATGACTACAGCCAGTGTTTCTAATTGTACATGATAACAGAAACTGTCGTTGATGTGTGTGCGAGAAGTCATTGATATCCCCTCTATCTTAAGACCCACTCTGTAAGTAAAACTCTGGAGGTATTCAAGAAAGACTCACGTGGACTTTTTTCTCTGAAACAAAGAGAAACGAGAGGACATTTTTAAGGAAACCCAATGCAACAAGAAGAGTGTGAACATAAAACCACAGGAGAGTGAGACACTTTGAAGGAAATGTACGGCAGCTCTGAAATATCACATGACTGTTCTGCTCCAGTCGGGACATTTCTTTGTAATCTAAACAAAAAATTAAAAAAATATATATATATATACATATAAATCACAAGTGTGTGTATCCAAAGATGAGATAGAAGAAAATAGTCACAGATCACGCTTTCAGTGTGCAGTCTACAAGCTGCTGGTTGTAGTTTGTAAAAAAAAAACAAAAAAACAAACAAAATAACTGGCAAGAATTTCATAAAAATGTTCACACTACAGATATATGTGGTAAATGATCTGGTATATTTTATGGGTAAAACTGTGCTATTTATTATGTTTTCGTGAAACTTTTTTTTCTGTGAAACTCAGGCGTGGTGTGCGTGGAAGTGAAAGTAAGATATTCAGAATAGCTAAAAGCGAGAATATTAGGCCATGTATCGTGTGAACTGTTTTGTCATCCGTGTCTGTCGTTTAAAGTGTCAAAGCCCAGATCTGCATTATGTGGTGTTAATAGCCCGGTCCTGCCCGGAGGCTGGACCGAAACTGGACAGAAGGGATGGCATATGGCTTGTCAGTGTAGATTATTATTAAACGCCAACTTCCCTTTGTTGAAAACAGTATAGAAAGAGATACTCTGCAGGAAGTGGGCGATTTTTCTCTCAACTACCCACCATGCTGACGGAGATCTTCAAGAAAAATCATCCTGAGATAAACAATAATTTAGCTTTTTGGTTTGTTGACTGACACAAGAATAGGACAGAAAACAACAATTTACCTGCCTGCCATCCTTATTGTTAAATATGGACAGCCCACTCACTGCTGTCAGCCCGTATAAATGCAGACATGACAAAGCCGCCTTAATTTGTGACCAATCCACGCCTCTGATACAGCCCCGCCAAGTTCGGTGGATGTAGAAATGGAAGATAAGTGGGTGATTGGTGCAAACAGGCATTGCTCTATGGGGGTAAACATTCCTGTATCCATTGCAACTTCACTCTTTCTATGGTACATCTTTTGCTGCAGGAAATAAAGGAAAGCTGTTTTCCCCAGCCCACTTTCAATGATAGAGTTTGGACATCTGCCATATTCCTTTTAGCTGCAAAGATTTAACATTGTTCTACAGAAGTTAAACATGATGACATGTCCTGTCCCAACACCTGTAGAAAAGGGCGTTGGTCAAGACGTTTTCAGCCTTTCAGATGCTGAGGTCATGTTAAGTCAACCTAAGGCAACTCTACTGTCCATGTGAAAGGTGGGGATAGTCTGAAAGCCAAATTTTGCAAACTGCCACATTGGGAAGATGTGAACTGGAAGTATTCAGTGGGTTGTTGATAGTTTGTCAGCGTTAATCTCGTTAAAATGACATTAACGCCATAACCGCATTAGCAAATCTCAGCGAGTTAGCGCGAATCGCCCCACGCATGGGGCTGCACATTGACAATGCGTTAGCTTGTTAATGCGTTAGCTCATTAACACGTTAGCGCCGTCCAGCCCCACGCACGGGGCGATCCGCGCTAACTCGCTAACGGAGATTTGCCGCGTTAATGCGGTTATGGTGTTAACGTCATTTTAACGAGATTAACGCTGACAGCACCAAATATGATAAGTCACAGTGAAACTAAGTCACAGTGAAACTAAGATATGTGTGTTTGTACGTTGACATTTGCCTGATAGGTTGAGATAGCGTCCACGCCCCTAACTTTAAGCCTTACCAGTAAAAAAAAACGACAACTTTAAAAATCTCTTGAATTAGTCATATTTGTACGAGGCTAAAATTGCTAATTTCACGGCTGAGGCTGTTCATTTTAACATTTAACATTCACACCCTTTAATGATCTGTAATTATTTGGTCTCAGCACATAATATGTTGAAACCTAGGCCTGAACCCTCCACGACCGAGGTCAGTGTTTCAATGTTTGGCATGACTTGCACATTGCCATGGCCCCTGCCAGCCTCTTACTAGGGCCAAACTCTTTCTTTTTTTCTCAATGACTTAAGCTTCAGTAACAGTTGCCAGTTTCCGAATGAGTGGGCAGGATAATAGTGCTGCTGACGCCACAGGAATACTGGGACGGATTTAGAAATGTAGGCTTTTTAAAGGTTGATAAGCCTTGCTGGAGGATGACTGAAAGTGTTTGCGTGTGTGTGTGAGTTTGTGCGTGTGCCTGCTCTCTAAGTGAATGAAGAAATGCGACCATATTTTTAGTCTTTTGCCTGTTGCTTAGCGACCATCTATCTGCTAGCCGTTGTCTTCTTGACTGTTGCTGGTGTGTGCGAGACACTTCGTGTGTGTGTGTGTGTGAGAGCGAGAGAGAGAGGTTTTCTTATATTTCTCACTTGCCCTTGTTCTAATGAATGTGACAGACTATGGACGACTGTCACGTTTAAAAAAGGAAATAAGTTGTTTAGCTTTCAGTTCTCATGCAGCTTGATTCTTCCAGAAGATTCTCTAATTTGGTGTTTTGACAATGGTGATAATATATCAGTCCAAAATCTCAAGTCTGTTCGATTAATTTGAGATTATTTGACTGCTCAGACCATTCCAGTCATCTCTCACAACTGATCAGTGGGAACGTTGCTGAGACCACGCCCACCAGGATTTCATTCTAGGACAAAAGTGGCCACATTTGCTTTGCAGTGACCCTTCCACTCACCTAATGGACCTAAACAATGTCAACACAATGCCCCTGTCACACGTATATTACTCAATATGTGTTTTTTGCCTCCCGTCGTTTGCATGTGTATCCATTGTATGTCTATGTCTGTCTGCGCCTTTTTGTGTGCTGGTGCACCTGTGTGGGTTGTAATCTCCTTACAAGGGCTCACCCCACATGTCCCTAGCTGACTCCCATATGCTAGATTAATGAATTTGAATGCCAACCTGACCCACAGTAAAAAGGCCTGGAAATTTGATTTTCTCCCTTGTGTACATGCCTGCATGTGCGCCTGAAATGGAGATAGAGAGGCAGGTAAATTGTGGCCGGTTCTCTACCCCCATAAGGTGTCTTTGTGTCTGTACCTGTCAAATAAGATTATATATATATATATATATAATCGATCTGGCTGTCTATCGAGACTGGAAAGCTGGCACCTTTCTTTAAAAACGAATATGCGTGTGTATGTGAGTGGAGTTTGGCAGTGCCTGTCGTACACTGAGGTCACAGACTCCACATCTCTTGACTGACTGATGACTACAGGCACACACGCTCTTGCACACAATATTTCATCATCAATTCATATGAAAAAATTCAGAAGATGAAAATGGAACCATGTGGAAAAAATCTAACACTTAAAAGTATTTACATTGTGACAACAGCTGTTAAAAATATTTAACTCATTCAATCAAGTGTAATGATATGATTTGCAGTGTGTGTGTGTGTTCTAGTCCAGCTATCATAGTGAGGACCAGATGGTATTGTAGACCACTACAGTAAGGACATTTTGGAAAGTGAGACCCTTTTGGTCTGTCCTCACTTTTTCAACCGGTTGTGAAAAAAGGGTCTGTGCCTGTGTTTGTTTTGTGGGGTTTAACAGATGTACTGCATCTATCTGAATAGATAATATCTGAATTTTGAAATGGAAAGATTATTTAAGAGTATTTGTTTTCAGGTAAACCTGGAAACCAGCAGCAGTGTTTTGCTATTGTCATTCATTCATTTTTCCAAGATCTATTATTCCATAGTTTGTATTATTTTTCA